TGCTTTAAGTAAATCTGGCCTAAGATGGGTCCTTTGTGGTCATTCAGAGAGTGCATGTGCCCTTTCGGTTGCACCTCAGTCATCAGTGAAGTTAGAATGAAGGAGCAAGATATGAAGAACTATTTTACAGCTGAAAGACTTATGATAATTAAGAAAAGAGAATAATGCATGGACAAACAGACCAAGAAACGAGTTTAAGCTTTTTTCTGTAGCTGTGTGGAAGAGTTTGTGAAGTCAGACATCTCTTTTCTCTTGTGCTGTGTTGTTTCTCTGCGCCTCACATTCTCTCTCCCTCTGGGTGTCTGCGAGATGTTAATTACAAATTCTCTCACAGCAAAGGGACAGAATTAGGCCGATAACAGCCAATTTGTACCTCAGTCATGCAAATAAATCTAATACGCATGCAGATGCAGTCATGGCAGGCTTGTGCTGAGTGTAATATCTAAAAAACCTCTGTGAACTCAGAAAAAGCGAAACAAATATCTGAGTGGTGCTTGCCACGCAAATGTCACCGGTTCAGTAACAAAAAGGAAGGTCCACAATAAAGAAATACATAGGTACATATTTGCTTTTTGTACAGTATCATATTTGATACTATTTATAAATATATGGTATATATACATTTATTTTAATTCAGAGATGAATAACATGAATGAATTACAATGTATGAATTGAAAGCAAAAAAAAAGTAAATGTAAAATTAATGTAAGCCAAGATATAGTTCAGAATAGTTGAAATGGTTATGGTTGTCTTAGCAAACACCACTAATAAGGCATCTTTCAAGCAGACTACAAACAAACCACAGTGGAGGAGGAAAGGTTAGGTTACAGTACTCAATTCAAGGTCGTTTTGTGGAAGGTTAAAAATCACCGCCCGTTAGGGATTTGTCAAGGTTTGTTAAGATTCATTAATTCTCAGAGCATGTCTTGGTGTATTAAAGACACACTTGCACCTCAGGCATCTGCGCTCTCAAGCAGGGCTGTTTGTCTTAGCTCCTGAGTCAGGAACTCTTTAAAGATTGTGTTTATGTTTGTACACATGACTAAAACTGTCCTCTCTTCAGAAGCTGATAAACTGACATTTTCATGCACAGATCGAGGTTGACATGCTTTTACATGTGAAGGTTAGGGACACTGCCAGTCAGAGCACATCTATAGTCTTACAACAGTTCTTGGAAATATCTTTTCTGAATTGCACAGCAGTCAGTCAGTCACTGCTTGCAGATTCAATAGGAATAAATGAATAGTAAACTGAAAACTACCTGTCACATTTGTCCTTGAATTGACTTAAAGGAGACATATTATGCCCCTTTTTTACAATATGTAATATAAGTCTCTGGTGTCCTCAGAATATGTCTGTGAAGTTTCAGCTCAAAATACTCCACATATCATTTATTATATCATTTTGAAAATACCTATTTTGAGTGGATGCAGAAACAGGCTGTTTTTCGGGCCTGTCTCTTTAAATGCAAATGAGCTGCTGCTGTCCGCCCCATTTTCCAGAATAGAGCTGCGCTATTACAGCTCGTACCTGCTAAAAACATCTGTTTTGGTTCTGATTATCTTGTTTATCGCGCTGAAATCATGCATTTTAAACCATATTAGTATAAACTTCTGATATACGGTTTTCTGAGAGCACACATCTGAAGCACACGGACAGAAAGCGGCTGTCACAGCATGCGAGTACTAAACTAAGTTCTCATTCACACACAAGTTTACGTTAAAAACACACGAGTTACAAAAACAGTCGGTTATGTCTGTGAAGGTTAACAGCGGTGAAATAAATCGCATGTTTATTTTAGATCTGTGTGGCAGCAGAAATATACATTAAATAAATCAATAAATCCACTGCTCTCTTGTCTCCTCTGAGGACTCCAAATATTGTTCTGTGCTCATCTGTGCAGCCAAAGGCAGAACAGTGTGCATGTTTTTCTCAAACTTTCGCCATGGCATTAGAACTAGTACAACGTTGTCGCTTGCGAAAACACAATAAAGGCGGCGTGGGTGGAAACTTACAGATTAAGGGGCGGTAATATTATAATGAGATCCCTTTGCCACGTCACTAGCGGAGCAAAATCAGACGCGCTTGTTTTCTCAGACGCTTGCAGAAAAAGACTTCCCAAAACAAAGTTACTGGGTTAATCTTTTTCACGTTTCCTTGGTGGGTAGATGCACCGGGGACCTGTTGTTTTCAGAATTGTGATTTGCTTTGCACTTCTTGGTCACCGTACTTCAGCTCTCTCCTAAAGAATTATTTAATGGCAAACAGACTGAAGACCAGACAGGCTCTCAATTCATTAAGCGATAGGCTTTTTTACTCTGAAAAGTTTATTCAATGTACCTCAACCTCTCCACTGACATCCATTAATAAACGGCCTCTTGTCTCCTCTCCAGATATCATAAACAAGCATAAAGTGTTTGGCGTTGTTAAACTTTTCCCTACATTGCACATGCACCTTAGCTGGACTACTTGTCGTTGGCTTTTTGACGCGATCGATCCCGTCTTTTGCCGAACTTTTTTTTCCTTTCTTTTCAAATATTGTATTAGCAATGGATTCTATTTACACTAAGTGAAAATAGCAGTATTTTTAGCAATATGCTATTTACACTAAGT